CAATGTCTCCCTTCTCGTTCTGCACATACGGAAGGGTTTCCAGGGTGTTTGAATTCCTTGATGAACCCCACCCAACTTCACTTACTCCTGTTCTCTTGATCCTTTGGTAGATCTTTTGCACTTCTCTGTGTCATTTTTTCTGAGTTGCAAGTCTTATATAATGGGGGGTTGGAAGACCCGGGGAACACATAGTTGCCATTAAATATCTAAAGGGTATGAAAAAGAAAGGTCAGATTTGCATTAAATATCCCTGGGGATAAAACCAGGCCCCAAAGGGAGATACTGTCAGGAGACAAATTCTGGTTCAAAATTAGAAGAAAACTTCTAGAAGTTACAGTCCTTTGAAGCTTGGAGTGGGCTTCTTGGGACCGTTCTGTCCCTGACTTGTGGGATGTCCACCGGTGGAATGTTACACTAGAGTTTAAAACATTGGGTGGATAGATGAATTATATCGTCTTTAAAGTATCAGTTATATCATTTTTTTCAATTATGACCTTCTGTGTGTGTTAGTCTCTCACATTCCCATCTTCCTGCAGGAATCTGCCTGCAGAGTTCCCCCTTTCTTGCCCTAGGCAGGCAGGATGAAGCCCACTGCTGAGAGGAGAATGACTGCCCACAATGGGGAGTGAAGGGCGGGCGGGAGGATGGTGAGAGGGGGTACAGACATCCTTGCGTGGAGGAAGATCTCTAAGCAAAGAAAGAACTGGACCTCAAAAAATGGTGGGAAACACATAGATAATCTTCGAAGGTAACCCAAGAAAATGGCAGTGAGGATGTACTAAGGTTGAGACACCTAATGGTTGAGCGCATGGGAGCTGGAGCTAGGCTGCCTGGGCTCAAGTCCTGGCTCTGACACTACCTGTGTGACATTGGGCAAGTTACTCAATCTCTCCGTGCCTCGGTTTCCCCAGTTATAAGATGGAAATGGTACTAGTGATATCTATTATAGTGAGGATTAAATGTAAATATTTAGGACACATGATAAGAGCCCCCCAAGGTGTTAGCTGTTTATTATAGGGTGAGTCTGAGACATTCTCTTAAGGATCAGGTGCAGTTCAGAGTAAGATGGAAGCCTTAGCAAGGGCGAGAGATTTTCTCATTTGAAAGTGAAAAAGAAGAGACTTAGATCAATAAGAGAAAACTAGTAATACCAAGCTGGGGAAAGAAGGGAGGGAGACAAAAGCATTAGTGGAAAATAGAGGCATCTTCAAAACCTAACAGAAGGGAAGGCTACACCCATGTTTCTTGAGCCAAATAATCAGCTTGAAACCAGAGTGAGAGAAAACAGGCCAGGGGAGGATGGAGGAAAGGGGATTCATGATTTCTCGTGGAAGTGTGGTGAGAGGAAAGAAGTGAAGCGACTTAACAGAGGTGCTTTCGAGCTTTCATTTTTGCTGCCAAGTTATTTAAGCACTGGTCTTGGCCAGTGGGTTGGCTGACTTAATCAGATAGTTTCTACTTAAAAGATGGTCTGCGTTTTTGTTTGTGGCCTCATACTCCTCTTTTGAAACACACACACTCGAGATTGAATAAATTCCGGTCAGAAAGTCAAGTGGTAGCAGCTTGGGGGGCCCCGTGGCAGTGGGCGCAGCTCTGGGGTGGGCCCTTGGGGGGGCTCCTTGGCGTGTGTTCTTGTTTTGGAAAAGCACTTCACCTCCTGTGCTAGGAAGGCTTGTGAAGGTGAAAGCGCCTGTTCAGAAACTCTCTCGATGTTCACATGAGCCAGGAAGCGAGGAATCCGATGCATGGGTACAGCGTACATGCCCTGGGCCCTTAGAGGCCAGATGTGGGGACTTGCGAATTGAAGAGCTTGGAAACCAGCTCCAAATCAGGACTGGAAGTATCTGGCAAAGTCGCTGCCCCTTTAGAAATTCTGGGAGGACCGCGGTCAACTCTCTTCTGGGGGCAAGCAGGGCAGGAGTGTCTGGCCTTTCCTGCGGGCATGTCCCCGACTCCACTCCTCCAGGGGGGTCTTTCTCTGCCCATTCATCCTCGGCAGAGAGGACGCCCCTTGTTCTGTCCATGATAAACAGAACAGACCATGGCGCTGGGAGGTCGGGGGTCCCTTCACTTACTAGCCGTCGTGCATGGGCAAGCCACCTTGCCTCTCTAAGTCGACCCCTCCCTGTCCAAATGGGGGTTGTGTGAGGATTCTGTGACAGTACCTGCAAGGTAGCAGGTACCTGCAATACCTGCTTCATAAAATAGAGGTTGCTATTCAAATGGTAGTGTTGTCTTAAACACAGTCTCACCATTATTTAATACATCCAGACATCATTATAGAAACACCAAGCTCCCAGTACAGGGAGATCCCCCCAGTGGATCCAGTGCAGCAGAGTGGGAACCAGCTCCGCACCCGTGACCGTCTGAGGGCGTGGTCCCCTCCAAGGATGCCCTTGACAGACTGCTCAGACAGTTTCTCTTGCCGGTCTGGCTGCTGCTCTGGCTCTAGGCTTTCTGGAAGCCAGCTGAGTGCTCACGGCACCATCTCCAAAGATGCCAGGGATGCTTAGCTGCCCTTAGGGTGGCGATTACCAGGCTGAGCAAACCACCCAAACTTGTAGCCCCTTGGCCCTGAGCCTGGTCTGGCATTAATAGAAAGTAGGGATTGGGATGAGACTTAGAGGTTGGTCGAGAGCCCTCACTCCAGCCCCTGTGCCTCCCCACGGTGCCTGTCCCACCACCTGCTTCTCCAGCTGATGGATGGAACTGTACACCTGGGCCCCATCAGGCTTCCCTTCCCACCGGGTTAAAGTGCTGAGGTTGCCTCCCAAATGGTCTCCTCGAGGAGCTTTCTCCCCTCCACTCCATCCTGCACATGCAGCCAGAGATACTCTCCCCTGACCTGCTTCATACGGGACCAGCCACATTCTGGAATTTTCTTTCACTCTTGCTCTCTTTGCAGTCCGCACTCTGACCTCCCCATTCTGACCTAGCCATTCCCTGAAAAGACGCTCCTCCCCTGAGCCATTCTGCCTTTTATCTGGATTTTCACTGCACACGTACTTCCCTTCCCCATATCCCCTTAAGCAAAGCAAAATCCCTGCTCATCCTTCAAGTCCTAACTCATTTGCTGCTGCTTCTGGGAAGCCGTTCCCATGTCCCTCGCTCCTGTTACAGGTGTCTTCATGCAGGTGTCTCTACAATGTTGCGCCCGCTGGAGGGCAGGGGCCTTCCATCTCCGCATCTCCCCTCCCCAGCACACAGCACTGTAGGGGCTCACAACTTATTTTGAGATTTGCGGTGAATTCAGTGGGGCATGAGCCAGTTGGAGATGGTTCAGGGCGCTGTGGCCCTTCCCGCAAGAATGGGATGTCAGGGTGGCCCTGAGGTCATGTTCCCAGCACAGGTGACATCTTTCAGGCTGTGACATGACACAGCCCAGGCTGGGGGTTTCATACCACCCCCACACAAATACCCCCATGTAGCAGCAGTATCACAGGACATTAATAAAATCAATTATTGGATAAAAATCGCTGGTTTCCAGTGCTTCATTTTGTGCTATTAGCAGGAGAATGCTGTTTCAAAAGGAGATAACAGAGAGAGCGAGCGAAAGGGAGAGATCAATTATCAGATAAGATGCAGTGGTGCCTGAGATGAATGTGTATGTGGGCGAGCGGCCCCCCTTACCTGCCAAATGTGGGCCGAGCGCTTGCACTGCTGTCAGCAGCACCTGCCCTGGGCCTTCCTGTTTAGATGCCCTGAGTGCAGAAGAGCATCCTGGTCAATGACGGGATGGGCGGTGCCCGGGCAGCTTCAGATACTTGCACAGCGAGGAGGGTCAGTAACACATGAATGAACATCTCACCCCCGATGCCAGCCCCAGGGCTCCAGCCCTCGTGGTCCAGGTCGGAGCCTGGTCAATAGGTTCTTCCTGGCACAGGACTCTTTTGGCTTTGATGCACCTGAAAGGTCTGAGCTTCGTTGATACAGACCAGCTCTCGCCTAGCGGGGTCAGCACTAGTACCCACTAGGCAGTGGCTATCAAGGGAAGCATCCACTGTGCTGAGGCCCTGAAGCCCATACCTCCTGCTGGCTGTGTGGAGTCTCTGTTGGCTGCAGAGCTGGGGTGGGCAGAGCAGAGGCGGCAGCCTGGGCTCTGGGCAGGAGCCGTCGCCTCCCTGTGTGAATCCCCTCACCTCCTCTGCACTGGAGGGTCCAGGAGACAGAGCTCTGCTTTGGGCTCTGCCACCAGCCACCCGGGCGACCTCAGGCAAGCCAGTAACCTTTCTGAAGGCTTGTCTTCCCTACTCTGCAGAGGGTCTTGGGGAGGGTGAAACGGTATCGTGAATGCAGAAACCGCCTTACACATTCTAAAGTACTGTCTTCTCTCGTGGTGAGGGTTATTACTTGCTCCCCGTGGATGCTCCTTCAAAATAAGCCCAGATTCCTGGGTTGGAGGAAGAAAGGGACACACAGGCATCCATCTGGTGGGCAGCACACCATTATAGATGGATTGCTTACTTCTCATCGCCGCCTTCCTGTGGCAGAGGAAGGAATGACAGTCACTGTGTACCACCTGCTATGCGCCAGCCACTGTGCCAGCACTTCTCACCAAGTGTCTCAAATTACCCTGGAGAAGTGGCCCCTGGGGTTAGTATTCTAGAATCCAAGTCCCAGCCCTGCAGCGTCCTAATTGTGAGATCTGGAGCCAGCTACCTGGGCTATAGAGCCTGCTTCCTTGTCCGTGCAGTGGGAATACGAACGACCTCCATCTCCTAAAACTGCTCTGAGAACTACACGAGGTAATGAGAGTATAGGTCCTAGCACAGTGCCTGGTATGTGAGCACAGCACTCGTTAAATGGTAGCTGTCATTGTCATCGTCATTCTGTTGTTATTATTATTGCTCATGGTTTTATTAACGTCCTACCTCTGCCCCTATCTTTGAGCTAAACCTCGCCAGCACAAGCCTGGTCTTGGCGGCTGGGCACTGACAGCCAGAGGGGGGGCTGAGAGGACCGGGAGCCGTCCTCACAGACTTCCTGTTCATGTCACACAGATTCCGGAGGCTGACTGGGATGACCTATGGGACCAGTTTGATGAGCGGCGGTATCTGAATGCCAAGAAGTGGCGCGTCGGTGATGACCCCTATAAGCTGTATGCTTTCAACCAGCGGGAGAGCGAGCGGATTGCCAGCAGCCGGGTGGTCCCAGACACTCGCCTTTTCAGGTACTTTTCCCGACCCCTCCCCACAGTCATGTCAGGTCCACAGCAGGCCAGCTTTGTGAAGCGCCCAGTGCCAGGAATCGGGCCAGGGAAACCGTTTGTTGCCAGGTAGACACGAGGGGCTCTGTGATGTTGCAGTTTGCCCCGTCTGTGCTTCTTGCTGCCGTGAGCCGTCCCAAAGCACCCCGTGGAGAGGGAGGAGGTGCCTCCACCTGCACCCTGCCGCCCTCACCCGGGGCTCACCCTAGGCATACCCGCCAGGAAGTCATGGAACACTCAACACCCTACAGCCAGAACCTTTCTCCCCTGGCAGATTCCCATGGCCTGGCCTGGCTTTCACACTGGGGGAGGGCAGGCCTCTGGGCAGTCAGGCTGGTGGTCTCTTCTGTCGCTCGGAGGTCCCCCTGGCTTCTCTTCTCACGTGCCAAAATGTCAGGCCATCAGAGGTCCTACAGCCTGACCTCCTGGCACGTGAGAAGAGAAGCCAGAGGGGCCTCCGCTGTCTGCTTCGGAGCAGCCCTTTCACACAGCCTCTGTCCTGCTATCCCCTTGGTCAGGCCCCCTTCAGATGGGTTGCAGAGATCAGACCTGGGGCAACGTGGAAAGCTTTGTTTCCCAGCAAAAAGAGGCTTTATGAAGGCGCTTCGCCTCTCAAGCCTTCCTAGAGTCAGCCAGCCCTTTGCTTCCTGGGGAGGCCTGAGGAAGCAGGTCAGTCTCACCCAGTGCCTCCCCTCCTGACCTCCAAGCTGGGAGGCCCAGCTGTGCCACAGACCCATGAGGGCGTGTTTCCTGTCTGCTGCGGGAAATTGACTTGGCACCCAGAGTAGCAGACCGGCAAGCTTGGGGTAGAGGGGCTTGAAGGCAACGTCAGATGAGAGACTGTAGGGTTGCTGTTAGCTTCTTAGCTTTCTGTGTCTGTTTGGGCCTCTGGGTACTGAATTGTGGACACTGGGGTTTAGAAGCAGGACAGTAAAAATTCTCATGACAAACGAGGCTGGTCGATCAGGTGGTATGTAAGTTGGCGGTATGGGAAGGCTGGTGGACTCAGTCTTCCCGACTAGGCTGCACAACTCAGAACTTTGACTTATACATTTTATTTCCGTGGAGGGGTTTGACCAGTCCTGGTTAATCACCATCACGCCTAAGAGGAGCCGGAGTCCTGGTTTCCCCCATGAATAAAGCCAGGGGACTGAACTGGATGAGGTCTATGCTTTCTCACTCTGAGAGTCTGTGAACTCAACCCTCCCCTCGAGGTACCCAGGAGATGCTTCCTTAGCAGTGGGGCCTGGAAGTCCCCTTTACCCAGGACACTCCCTGCTGCCTGCCTGAAAGCTTCAAGTCAGAGTCTTGTACTATTCCTATTAAAATTCCCCAGCACTTACCCTGGTCCTTGGACATGATAGAATTTTATTTAAATATTAGATTATTTTATTTCGCGGGGCGGAGAGTATGTATAGGAGAACAGGGAAGAGAGAACAGGCAGAAGGCTGAGAAGCTCCACTGGGTCTCCAGCGTCCAGACGCTGAGGCCCTGTAGAGGGACACAGGGACACCTCCTCGCCAGGAAAGGGGCTGGTGTATCTGGGTGACAGCTGTCGGAACTGCCTCTGAATGCTCCCACCTGCAGGGAGGAGGCGTCGGGGAATTCACTGGGCAGGCAGATTTGCGGGGATACCTGACCAGGACTAAAGTCTGCGTTCACCGTTTTATGATCTGAGAGGCAGAAATGAAAGCATTTTCCAGGGCTGGACATAGTGGTAGTTGTGGGTGAAGAACTCAGCCTGTCCCCAAGGATCTGAGTTCCCCAGGTCCAGTTCCAGGCTCCCTACGTGACCCAGTGTGTTTCTCCTGTGAGGTAAGTGTGATCTTCTGGGATTGCAGCAAGAAGGGAAGAGAAGATTTAGAGCAGACACCCTTTGGAAGACAGCGAGGAAAAGTGTATCAGCCACATGTCTGCCTCGGGACAGTGACCTTGCTCTGTGGGAGCTCGGATTGTGTTACTCAGAGCAGTTCAGATTTATGGATTCTAATCTGAAAGAGCAGGAAGGGGAGACGACAGGGCATTGGGAATGAGGGCAAGCACGTGGGACCAGGCAGCCATGGCACGTGGTCCCGCCTGCTGTGCACAAAACCCTAAGCAAGCCCTGACAGAAGCCGCCCACTGATCAGCTCTCTGAGGCTGAGTTTGGTACGGGACTGACCCTGTGCCTGTATCACCCTCGTGATGGGAGTTCCGGAGACTGCAAAGCCCAATGTTCTCCTCTCAAGTGGGCCCCCACTGAGTGGTGACTTTCTGTCTCCAGGACCTCCCATTTCCAACCCTGACCTCCCAGGGAGTCCGTGTCCTTGAGGTTGAGGTCACCAGCTAAGTCCCTTAATCCTTCTGTGATTCTGGCCTCTCTGCTGTATCCTGTCTTCATCCTCTTCCAGCCCTGGGGCTTGCCGGCCTGGGCCCATTCTCAGGCCCTGGCTGTCCCAGCTCTGACCAGCTGTGGCTGCTGGTGGCCTGCGTCTGCCTGCCCAGGGGTTCTCGGTGGTGACTGACATTGGGGGCTGGGTAACTGCGTGTAAGGGGGGCTGTCCCGTACTTTGGGTGTTTAGCAGCGTCTCTGGCCTCCACCCACGAGACGCCAGTAGCACCTCCCCGAGTTGTGACAACCAAATATGTCTCCAGGCGTCGCCAAATGTTCCCTGGGAGCGAAACTGCAATGAGAACACCTGCCATAACGCCAGCCCTGCTTGTTACCTGAGTTCTCAAGAATGAAACATAAATATGCCTTCTCAGCCCCAGCAAAAGGATGAGGCCATATCTTCCCCCTAAGTCAGAGTCAAGCAGAAGGCAGTACAGCCCAGGGGTTAATGATACAGAGTCTGGGATCAGATCACCCCGTTTCCTGTCTTGCCTGTGCTGCTGACTAGCTGAGCAAACTCATCATTACCTGGCTTCCCTGGTCCACACTTTCCTCTTTTGAAAAGTAGGGATAAAAATAACAATGATACCTATCTAATGCGCTTTTCATAAGGATCAAATAATCTATATGTAAAGTTACTTACATACTCCTTAGCAAGTAGTAAAAAAAAATTTTCATTGTTGTTATTATTGCACGGTAATAATATGGGCAGGTTGGCACTGCAGGGCCAGGAATGGAAGGGAAGTGTCGGGGCGGGGGCGTCTCCTGAGAAAACTGAAGATACTCAGGCAAGAGAGGCAACCAAACGCCGAGTGTCAGGAAGGAGCATTAGGGAGATCACTTCAGTTGTCAGGAGGGGTGGGGGTGAGGGAGGAACAGAGGAGGGCCTCAAGGGTGAGTTCAAAGCTGGAGAAATGGGCGTGGAGTGTTGGTCACGAGTGGGGGTCCCAGCAGTTCTCAATCCAGGCATCTCATAAGAACCACTTGGGAACTTATGAAAGGCTGATACCCAGCCTCCAACCAGCTGAAGTGTCTCTTTTCTGAGTTCCCCAAGTGATTCTAGGAAGCAGCCAGGGTTGAGAAACGCCGTTCCAGGTACGTGTTTCTCAAACTTAAATCACCTGAGGTTCTCGTCAAACTGATCCAGCAGGTCTGGGGTGGGGCCTGAGAGTCTGCATTCCTATCAAGCCCCCAGGTTCTGCCGATGGACGGTCCATTGATCACACTTCGAATAGCAAAGGCTTAGAACGATGGTTCTCAAAGTGTGGTTTCCCAGACCAGGAGACGAACAACACCGGCATCACCTGGAGACTTAGAACTGCAGTTTCTAAGCTTCCCCCCGGAACTGCTGAGTGAGGCACTCTGGGGTGGAGCCTGGCGATCTGTCTCAACAAGCACCACCAGTGATTTTGATGCCTGCTCAAATTTGCAAACCACAGAGCATCAGCTGGCACTGCGGCTTCCTTTTGTGGGTCAGATGAAGTCCATGGGTGGGTTGGTCCAGCTGAAAGGCCCAGGGTTTGAGTACAAAGTAGGCCCTGGTATAAAGATGCCTTCCTGCCTACAGGCTGCAGCCCTGTCCCTCTGTCCAGGTGATGGGGCTCTGTCTCAGGCCCTGTAGAGACCTCTGGCTTCTCTGCCCCTTCCTCTTCTCAGTTTCTTCAACCACAGGGTGTATATGCTGCCATCCTCTTGGCAATTGGCATCACCTTTACCAAGAAGCTCCTACTGTGGCCATTGGCCCACTCTGGACTCCTGGTTCCTTTGTGGGACCCGACCCCATGGACACGGCTTCCCTCTCCCTGTCCATGTTCCCATCATGCCTTGCAGCTAAGGTTCTACTAGTTATGACACCAGTTGCCCTCTAGGGGGGGAGAAATCTTTGATGTGTGATAGGAATTCAATAAATGTTAGTTGAGCAAATGAAAGGGAGAGTAAGCCTGGAAAGACAACTGATAACTCTTTTCCTATCTGCCTGATGGGTAAATAGGACAAGAGGAGCTAGAGGAAGCCCCCTTCTCCGTATCCTCCCATCCTCATGGGCTTCAGATAAGGGACCAGGAGAAGAACCTCTGTTAAAGGAAAAAGGCCTTTTTCCCTTAAAGAGTTCTCATTACTGAGAAGAGAAGAGTGAAGAAACAGCATGTGAGCGGGGTCTGAGCTTATTAAATTTGCTTCAGATTTTCCTACCACAGTAATTGCATTGTGATTTATAGGATGCGTTTGAGCAACGCCTGAAACAGAGCTGTTAGCTGAGCATCAGAGCAGGCACTGCTGAGAGAGCGCGCACTGGGCAGAATGGCTTAGGAATCCAAAGGTACCCAGGTGGAGTGAGGAGGGGAGAAAGGAGGAAGGCTGCGGAGGTTTTCACCAACCACCCACTGTGCAGATTGAAAAGCGAGTGCGTTGGTGGCGTGGAACGCCAACAAACAGGTCATGGCGGGGTGTCACGTGATAGAAGAAGCCCCAGAGGGGCCAGGGGCTTGATCCCCTGTGTGAAATGGGATAGAGTCACCATCTTTCTCTTGGCCCTTTACCCCGTGGAGTCTACGGTATTTTGTGGGAGG